GCCACGTCTCGACGGCGTCCACGCGCTCGTGCTGCCTTATTAAAGCAAAATACAACATGACCAGCCCGATCCGAACACGTAGCGTAAAACCAACCGCACGCCGGCAGTAAAAGCAATGACGTCGCCACGATGGAAAACTGCCAAGCCACTGGCTTCTGCAGATTCTCCAGATTCAAGCAGCGTTTCAAACGCACGTCCTGCCAACAGCAGGAAACAAGCGCCAAAAGCTCCCCTACTCAGTTCCTCAAACATTTCTTCATGGAAGGCACCGCCTCCTAGTCTCGGCGGTGTCCATGTACTTCAAAGCAAAATACAAGAAGACTAGCCCCATCCAAACAAAAAGTATAAACCCAACGCCGCGAGGACAGCACATGCAATGACATCGCCACGATGGAAAACTGCCAAGCCACATGGCCTCTGCTGATTCTCCAGATTCAAGCAGGCTTTCTAACGCACGCCCTGCAACCGGCATACAATGAGCCCTCACGATTTCCCTACGCAAACCGTCAACAAGAAACTCCCGTCTCTCCACGAAAGGCACTGCAGTCTCGTCTCGACAGTGTCCATGCACTCATGCTGCCTTGTCAAGGCAGAATACAAAATGACCAACCCGACCCAACCAAATAATATAAAACCAACCGCACGCTGACAGCATATGCAAAGACATCCCCATGACGAGGATCTGTCAAGCCACATGGCTTCTCCAGATTCGCCTGATTCAAGCAGCTTTTCCAGCGCACGTCCTGCAAACAATAAGCAACAAGCGCCCGCGATTCCCCTACTCAGGTCGTACAGCACAAACGCGTTGCACTGCACACCACACACTCCGCCCTTCTACGTGCGATGTTGCGTTTCCACTCTCCTGTGCCAACCCCGCACATCAACAGACTCTTCCAACCACAGAGACGCCAGAAAGCCTCTCATCGCATCGACAACTGGCACTGCCTTAGTTACGATATGGACGCATCCGCAGCGCCTCCTTACAACTAAGTGGCGAAGCACTGGCCCGATCCACGCACGCCGGCAGCAAATGCAATGACGTCGCCACGATGGAAAACTGCCAAGCCACATGGCCTCTGCTGATTCTCCAGATTCAAGCAGGCTTTCTAACGCACGCCCTGCAACCAGCATGCAATGAGCCCTCACGATTTCCCTACGCAAATCGTCAACAAGAAACTCCCGTCTCTCCACGAAAGGCACTGCAGTCTCGTCTCGACAGTGTCCATGCACTCATGCTGCCTTGTCAAGGCAGAAGACAAAATGACCAACCTGACCCAACCAAATAATATAAAACCAACCGCACGCTGACAGCACATGCAACGACATCCCCATGACGAGGATCTGTCAAGCCACATGGCTTCTCCAGATTCGCCTGATTCAAGCAGCTTTTCCAGCGCACGTCCTGCAAACAATAAGCAACAAGCGCCCGCGATTCCCCTACTCAGGTCGTACAGCACGAACGCGTTGCACTGCACACCACACACTCCGCCCTTCTACGTGCGATGTCGCGTTTCCACTCTCCTGCGCCAACCCCGCACATCAACAGACTCTTCCATCCACAGAGACGCCAGAAAGCCTCTCATCGCATCGACAACTGGCACTGCCTTAGTTACGATATGGACGCATCCGCAGCGCCTCCTTACAACTAAGTGGCGAAGCACTGGCCCGATCCACGCACGCCGGCAGCAAATGCAATGACGTTGCCACGATGGAAAACTGCCAAGCCACATGGCCTCTGCTGATTCTCCAGATTCAAGCAGGCTTTCTAACGCACGCCCTGCAACCAGCATGCAATGAGCCCTCACGATTTCCCTACGCAAATCGTCAACAAGAAACTCCCGTCTCTCCACGAAAGGCACTGCAGTCTCGTCTCGACAGTGTCCATGCACTCATGCTGCCTTGTCAAGGCAGAAGACAAAATGACCAACCTGACCCAACCAAATAATATAAAACCAGCCGCACGCTGACAGCACGTGCAACGACATACCCATGACGAGGATCTGTCAAGCCACATGGCTTCTCCAGATTCGCCTGATTCAAGCAGCTTTTCCAGCGCACGTCCTGCAAACAATAAGCAACAAGCGCCCGCGATTCCCCTACTCAGGTCGTACAGCACGAACGCGTTGCACTGCACACCACACACTCCGCCCTTCTACGTGCGATGTCGCGCTTCCACTCTCCTGTGCCAACCCTGCGCATCAACAAACTCTTCCAACCACAGAGACGCCAGAAAGCCTCTCATCGCATCGACAACTGGCACTGCCTTAGTTACGATATGGACGCATCCGCAGCGCCTCCTTACAACTAAGTGGCGAAGCACTGGCCCGATCCACGCACGCCGGCAGCAAATGCAATGACGTTGCCACGATGGAAAACTGCCAAGCCACATGGCCTCTGCTGATTCTCCAGATTCAAGCAGGCTTTCTAACGCACGCCCTGCAACCAGCATGCAATGAGCCCTCACGATTTCCCTACGCAAACCGTCAACAAGAAACTCCCGTCTCTCCACGAAAGGCACTGCAGTCTCGTCTCGACAGTGTCCATGCACTCATGCTGCCTTGTCAAGGCAGAAGACAAAATGACCAACCTGACCCAACCAAATAATATAAAACCAACCGCACGCTGACAGCACATGCAACGACATACCCATGACGAGGATCTGTCAAGCCACATGGCTTCTCCAGATTCGCCTGATTCAAGCAGCTTTTCCAGCGCACGTCCTGCAAACAATAAGCAACAAGCGCCCGCGATTCCCCTACTCAGGTCGTACAGCACGAACGCGTTGCACTGCACACCACACACTCCGCCCTTCTACGTGCGATGTCGCGCTTCCACTCTCCTGTGCCAACCCCGCACATCAACAGATTCTTCCATCCACAGAGACGCCAGAAAGCCTCTCATCGCATCGACAACTGGCACTGCCTTAGTTACGATATGGACGCATCCGCAGCGCCTCCTTACAACTAAGTGGCGAAGCACTGGCCCGATCCACGCACGCCGGCAGCAAATGCAATGACGTTGCCACGATGGAAAACTGCCAAGCCACATGGCCTCTGCTGATTCTCCAGATTCAAGCAGGCTTTCTAACGCACGCCCTGCAACCAGCATGCAATGAGCCCTCACGATTTCCCTACGCAAATCGTCAACAAGAAACTCCCGTCTCTCCACGAAAGGCACTGCAGTCTCGTCTCGACAGTGTCCATGCACTCATGCTGCCTTGTCAAGGCAGAAGACAAAATGACCAACCTGACCCAACCAAATAATATAAAACCAACCGCACGCTGACAGCACATGCAACGACATCCCCATGACGAGGATCTGTCAAGCCACATGGCTTCTCCAGATTCGCCTGATTCAAGCAGCTTTTCCAGCGCACGTCCTGCAAACAATAAGCAACAAGCGCCCGCGATTCCCCTACTCAGGTCGTACAGCACAAACGCGTTGCACTGCACACCACACACTCCGCCCTTCTACGTGCGATGTCGCGCTTCCACTCTCCTGCGCCAACCCTGCGCATCAACAAACTCTTCCAACCACAGAGACGCCAGAAAGCCTCTCATCGCATCGACAACTGGCACTGCCTTTGTTACGATATGGACGCATCCGCAGCGCCTCCTTACAACTAAGTGGCGAAGCACTGGCCCGATCCACGCACGCCGGCAGCAAATGCAATGACGTCGCCATGACGAGGATCTGTCAAGCCACATGGCCTCTGCTGATTCTCCAGATTCAAGCAGCTTTTCCAGCGCACGTCCTGCAAACAATAAGCAACAAGCGCCCGCGATTCCCCTACTCAGGTCGTACAGCACGAACGCGTTGCACTGCACACCACACACTCCGCCCTTCTACGTGCGATGTCGCGCTTCCACTCTCCTGTGCCAACCCCGCACATCAACAGATTCTTCCAACCACAGAGACGCCAGAAAGCCTCTCATCGCATCGACAACTGGCACTGCCTTAGTTACGATATGGACGCATCCGCAGCGCCTCCTTACAACTAAGTGGCGAAGCACTGGCCCGATCCACGCACGCCGGCAGCAAATGCAATGACGTCGCCACGATGGAAAACTGCCAAGCCACATGGCCTCTGCTGATTCTCCAGATTCAAGCAGGCTTTCTAACGCACGCCCTGCAACCAGCATGCAATGAGCCCTCACGATTTCCCTACGCAAACCGTCAACAAGAAACTCCCGTCTCTCCACGAAAGGCACTGCAGTCTCGTCTCGACAGTGTCCATGCACTCATGCTGCCTTGTCCAGGCAGAAGACAAAATGACCAACCTGACCCAACCAAATAATATAAAACCAACCGCACGCTGACAGCACATGCAACGACATCCCCATGACGAGGATCTGTCAAGCCACATGGCTTCTCCAGATTCGCCTGATTCAAGCAGCTTTTCCAGCGCACGTCCTGCAAACAATAAGCAACAAGCGCCCGCGATTCCCCTACTCAGGTCGTACAGCACAAACGCGTTGCACTGCACACCACACACTCCGCCCTTCTACGTGCGATGTCGCGTTTCCACTCTCCTGCGCCAACCCTGCGCATCAACAAACTCTTCCAACCACAGAGACGCCAGAAAGCCTCTCATCGCATCGACAACTGGCACTGCCTTTGTTACGACATGGACGCATCCGCAGCGCCTCCTTACAACTAAGTGGCGAAGCACTGGCCCGATCCACGCACGCCGGCAGCAAATGCAATGACGTCGCCACGATGGAAAACTGCCAAGCCACATGGCCTCTGCTGATTCTCCAGATTCAAGCAGGCTTTCTAACGCACGCCCTGCAACCGGCATACAATGAGCCCTCACGATTTCCCTACGCAAACCGTCAACAAGAAACTCCCGTCTCTCCACGAAAGGCACTGCAGTCTCGTCTCGACAGTGTCCATGCACTCATGCTGCCTTGTCCAGGCAGAAGACAAAATGACCAACCTGACCCAACCAAATAATATAAAACCAACCGCACGCTGACAGCACATGCAACGACATCCCCATGACGAGGATCTGTCAAGCCACATGGCTTCTCCAGATTCGCCTGATTCAAGCAGCTTTTCCAGCGCACGTCCTGCAAACAATAAGCAACAAGCGCCCGCGATTCCCCTACTCAGGTCGTACAGCACAAACGCGTTGCACTGCACACCACACACTCCGCCCTTCTACGTGCGATGTCGCGTTTCCACTCTCCTGCGCCAACCCTGCGCATCAACAAACTCTTCCAACCACAGAGACGCCAGAAAGCCTCTCATCGCATCGACAACTGGCACTGCCTTTGTTACGATATGGACGCATCCGCAGCGCCTCCTTACAACTAAGTGGCGAAGCACTGGCCCGATCCACGCACGCCGGCAGCAAATGCAATGACGTCGCCACGATGGAAAACTGCCAAGCCACATGGCCTCTGCTGATTCTCCAGATTCAAGCAGGCTTTCTAACGCACGCCCTGCAACCAGCATGCAATGAGCCCTCACGATTTCCCTACGCAAATCGTCAACAAGAAACTCCCGTCTCTCCACGAAAGGCACTGCAGTCTCGTCTCGACAGTGTCCATGCACTCATGCTGCCTTGTCAAGGCAGAAGACAAAATGACCAACCTGACCCAACCAAATAATATAAAACCAACCGCACGCTGACAGCACATGCAACGACATACCCATGACGAGGATCTGTCAAGCCACATGGCTTCTCCAGATTCGCCTGATTCAAGCAGCTTTTCCAGCGCACGTCCTGCAAACAATAAGCAACAAGCGCCCGCGATTCCCCTACTCAGGTCGTACAGCACGAACGCGTTGCACTGCACACCACACACTCCGCCCTTCTACGTGCGATGTTGCGTTTCCACTCTCCTGTGCCAACCCCGCACATCAACAGACTCTTCCAACCACAGAGACGCCAGAAAGCCTCTCATCGCATCGACAACTGGCATTGCCTTTGTTACGATATGGACGCATCCGCAGCGCCTCCTTACAACTAAGTGGCGAAGCACTGGCCCGATCCACGCACGCCGGCAGCAAATGCAATGACGTCGCCACGATGGAAAACTGCCAAGCCACATGGCCTCTGCTGATTCTCCAGATTCAAGCAGGCTTTCTAACGCACGCCCTGCAACCAGCATGCAATGAGCCCTCACGATTTCCCTACGCAAATCGTCAACAAGAAACTCCCGTCTCTCCACGAAAGGCACTGCAGTCTCGTCTCGACAGTGTCCATGCACTCATGCTGCCTTGTCAAGGCAGAAGACAAAATGACCAACCTGACCCAACCAAATAATATAAAACCAACCGCACGCTGACAGCACGTGCAACGACATACCCATGACGAGGATCTGTCAAGCCACGTGGCTTCTCCAGATTCGCCTGATTCAAGCAGCTTTTCCAGCGCACGTCCTGCAAACAATAAGCAACAAGCGCCCGCGATTCCCCTACTCAGGTCGTACAGCACGAACGCGTTGCACTGCACACCACACACTCCGCCCTTCTACGTGCGATGTCGCGTTTCCACTCTCCTGCGCCAACCCCGCACATCAACAGACTCTTCCAACCACAGAGACGCCAGAAAGCCTCTCATCGCATCGAGAAGTGGCACTGCCTTTGTTATGATATGGACGCATCCGCAGCGCCTCCTTACAGCTAAGTCACGAAGCAGTGGCCCGATTCACGCAGGCATAATGCCAAACAGGCTGCGCGCTGCCGGCACGTGCGATGCACTTGCCATGACGTGAAATAATCAAGCAAAGTTTTCCACGCATATTCACCTGATTCATTGATCGAATCCAACTTAGTTTCAGCAGCACGCCATGAGGATTCACCTTGTCGCGTCGTCAAGGAGAAAGTGCACTGCTGTCCACGACACGCGTTGCGCCATTCTGTTCGCACAGCCGCGCCGCTATAATAGAAAGCTACTCGTTGCGCCGCTTCAAACTTGAAGCCCAGATGATTCGGCCGATTGACGAGCAGGCAATGTAAAATCAGCGTCATGCCAACGATCCTTGAAGTAATGCTGCCATGACGGTATGCTGCCGAGTGTTTCCTATTTTGTCCGGCAAATTTATTGTGATTTTTTGACTTACCACCTAGCAAATATAAGCAAGCGTCCTTTCAGGTGGACCAGCCTAATGCAATGCCCAATGCAATTTACTCAAAGCATTGTGAATTTCTTCTTTCGATGTCGCTTCTTTACCTTTCCACACCATGCTCTCACGCCAGGAAGTTGTTGCGCTGAGGCTCTCACGCCATGAAGTTGTTGCGCTCAGTAAGCCAGCAAACATTCACGTTCCACTCAGTAGGGAAATAGAAAGCATCACATGACGCCCTTCACTAGCAAACTTTCGCCTTAATGTTATGGAGGATGTTGCGTCACAACTCGATGTCAGATGATATGACAAAGCCATGCCACTTGCTGCTGGCACATACAATGATGTTGCCATGATCTGACTAACTCGCCCGAAGTAGTCTGTGACGCTTCACCGGATTCGAGAAGTCTCCCTAACGCACTTGCTGCATCCACCAATCAGCATGGCAAACACAAATGCTACGCAGACGTCGAGAATGCATGTATTACCATTCTTATGTTGTTCCGACAAGCAAGTAGATGCAGCTGCCAGAAGACAGTGTTGCTAGCCAGCAAAAGTACACAAAAAGCCAGGAATACCATTTTCAGCGCAGCTGAACTTTCCCAAAAGGCTAGTTGCGTCATTTTAAATCATGTCTTAATGCAAGCTAGGGTTTCTAGGCATTTGGCTGCCCGTGAACTCTGCAAAACGTGTCTTGTTAGATTTCGCATCGTGGCCAACGGAATTGTCAGGAGCTTGGTAGGACCGGCAGAACCCATGAATAGCTGCAGATGCCAATCTGCTTCTCCTCGCTGGCTCATGGACCTGCTGTGGCTCTGCTTATAGCGTCAGAGACCAATAAAGGAAAATGAGTGGAATTCAAATAATTCTAAATTGGATGTTTCATTTCACTTCATGTGTGTGTGTGTGCCCAAGCGTATAGACCATCTCATCTATGTAACCACAAGACTTCATTAGCCCTCAGAGAATATTGGTATGTGCAGGTACCATAAACTTTGTCTGCAGCAACAGTAATCTCAAACAACGGAGAGCTTAGAAGGAATATGATTCAGTTGTTCTGGTCCACCAAATTTTAACTCTTTTCCTGTCAAGTAGTAGATTAGGCAGTGAGGGGCTTGATTCTGAGAAATGCCTCTTTGATGCCTCAGCTTCTGGATTAAAAAGACTTGGAAAAGCATATCAAATTCTTCGTACAGGAACGGCTAGACAATCTCTAACTGCGGATCACACGGCCACGCTCTTCACCCTGACTGAGGTGGAGAGTGTGTCCGTGTGATCCGCGTTAAGAGATTGTCTAGCCAGTCCTGTAGGAAGAGTTTGATAAGCTTTCCCGATTCTTAGTTCACATTTCATTTTTTACCCCTGTAGAATGTGATAAAGATTAAAGTTCAACAGGAGACCACGTCCCGCAAATTCAACCAAGCCTGTTGTCGCGGCTGGCTACGGTTTTGCGAGAGAGCAAAAAAGGAAGAAGATAATTGCGTCAATTCATTCGTGTACACAACTCAATGGTTGATCAGGCCTTTGGCTGCCTCCAGGTTTCTAATAGTTACGTCTACCGTCAACCTGCGTCCGAATGATCCTTACCCCACCAATAGTGGAAGCAATCAGCAAAAGTCACATTGCATCGACACCGTCCGAGGTCACCGCAATAAATCTACAAAGCAAACCGCCAAGTCACAGGCAGTTTGGCAGTTCTCAGGAAATGCCACATTACCATTGGCTAGAAATCACTAATTTCGAAGACCTGATGTACTTGATGCTGCGACTAGCAATGCACGTAAACTGTCCTTCCACCTTTCAGAACCCTCGAGAGTTTCCTAGTCTCTTGGGAAACTTTGGCACTTAGTGGAATGCACCTTCATGTGCCTTAACAGGATGCACGGCAAATCGCCCAGTCTCAAAAAAGGATCTGTCCTGCTCATCTCTCCGTGTCGCTTTTCGACAAGCGAGAAAAGGGCTGCTTCCAAATCGACGCGATTAAGTTGCCCCTCAGCACTAGCTAGCCCGTGTCTCATTGGTCTTTCCCAGTAAATGCATCTGTTTTGAAAATGGCTTTCCATGGACTCAGGCACAATGCACTTAGGTGCTACTTCCAGTATGCGCATTTGTTTCCAGAATCGCTACGCATGGACCCAATTATGAAGGTCTCGAAAAAAACCTGTGTGCGTTTGACTCCGTTGAAAATAGAACCTGGAAGCTAAGCGTATTTAAAGCGTTCGCTGCCACCGTTGTGATATTTCCGGAGGATTTATCCAAAGTAATTTAACGGACAGTGCGACGTTGCGCCGCCCTCAGCATGTTCAGATAAACAGGACAGGTCAACAAGCTGATATAGTGTTCTCCACAATCTCACGAAATTCACTACCTTGGAGTGAAAAACGAAAGATATGCTACTGCATGTTCTGTAGCAGCGGAGTACCGGCTCACCTCCTTTAAGGTAGTAGTGCATCACCAGCCCAACGCGTGGCGACCACAAGCTTCGCCGAGCAAAACACCTTCGGAAAAACTAATTTAGGCATTTCTTGCACACAGCTTTCAAAAGGCTCCCTCACAAACATCGATCAACCAAACAATAAGAAGAAAAGCTGAAGAAAACTTTACGATAATATCCCCAACAAATTTCTAACAATTGCTCAAAAGAAAAGAAAACTAGAAAAAATAACTGTACGGTGCACTGCCTCTGTTTTTCTTCAACAGTTTCCTTTCGCTTCGCAGACGGGCTACACAGAAACTGCCTGCAGTAGCCGTTTACGCGCGAAGATCAAATACCAATGACAAGTTCATGTTTAGAACAGGAAGGCGTATATAGCATATGTCCTTGGTGAAAGTGGGAACGCATGCGATGTTATGTTGAACGTTTCTTTGTCCTCGTACTACATTCGGCGAACCCACAAGCTCGCATCCCACTAAACACCGCCTTGACCGTGATCCCGAAACGTTTAGCACCAATTGGTGCTGCTTAGAATTGAGCGTTCACAACGCTTTCTCCTCTTACGGTGATCGACAGCATCATAACCAATGCCATGTTCTCTGCTTTGCTTTAGAATCATCTGTTATACTCAAAACTTATTGTGTCTGAAGCTTAGACGCTTGGCTAAGACCGTGCGATTCCCAGTTTCCCGATCGTGAGCTGTAGGCCAGCTCTTCAAGCGGAAGCGTTCGTCCCGTGCGCCCACAAACGTTTAATACCAATTACATTGTTCTGGAACCAATTAGACTTTGCAGTCTGTTGCCACGAATCTGCTGTTGTACAATGCCTTCAACAAGCATTCTCAATGGCTCTTTTCAGTTCGAAAGAGAGCTGAGCATCCGCATGCAGCACAAAAGTGTCGTGGTGACAAGAAGATTACCTATAAATTCCCAAAACTTCTGTAGCGGTGGCTAAAGAGTAACCGCACGGAGTACGGCAGCTGAATAAGCCACGCAAGGCCTGGCAAGGCATTTTGTCTCTAGGAAGTGGTGTCCAACAGACAAGACGCCCACATTTTGCCATCACCGCCATATATGTTGCTCACAAGAGCTCGCATGTCAATATT